CTATAACACCCTCGCGGCTTTCTGTCCACAAGCGGCTGGACGAGATCCGAGGATCCATTCGCTCCTGAGAAACAAAAAGAGCAATAAAAACGGATCGAGGGTCCTGTTCTCGTTTTTCAAACCTCCTGCCTCCCTCTGCAGTTAAAATATAAAGGAGATCGCCGGCGGCGCGAGAGCCCGGAGCCGAGGGCCTGTTGCGACGCCGAACTTGTCAGGAGATGCCGGGGCCGCGGCGGTACACAGAGGTGTCTCGGCATGCAAATCGCCGTTATAAAGAGTGAGATGTCAGCATTCCGGACGAGGAAGCCAGTCCCCGAGAGCTGTCTGAGACAGAAGCGTGCACTGCAGACCAAGCTCCGCCGGACGAAAGGCAGAGAGAGACGGGGGAGAATCGCACTGCATGCGACACGCAGCGGGACAGATGTGGGTAATCTGATGTAAGTGCTATTTCAGGACCAGGCAACTGCGGCGGCGAGAGCACGACAAAGATTACATTGTTGCCACATAACTGCAGCACAGAGAGTGGGGAACACGTAGCCGAGGCGGTATGGACTGGGAGTGTGGGTGCCGGACTGTGTTCAGTTGGCCTTTGTTAAATGGGCGTGTAACACTGTCCCCTCGGTTTCTTGAAACCCATCGGATTCCCGTTCAAAACATAACCAGGAACACAGCGCGAGGGCCGTGTGCTTGTCAGGCACGCCGCCGCGAGACCCTGGCAGAGGCTGGATGATGTCATTCCTTCAGGACGTCACCATTGCACCAAAACCGTGCGCGCGGTCACCCTGCGCGTCACACGGATCGTTTGGGTTGTTCAACGCATAATCATTCGAGAATGAAACAAGTTCTCCTTTATAATGTCCGCTACTTTTAGTAGTGTTTCTGGCGAGGTAAATACTGAATACAGCGTTAGTTAAGTTTGTAACATTTTTGGAACTCTTTCTCAGCAGGTTATGGTAATTTATCCCGATTTTGTAATCGAGCAGTTGTAACTAAAGGAAGGTGAAGTACGAACGCAATACATTTACAAGCAAAATCTTAAACATAACCTCCATGAGCAATACTAATTGCTTGTTAGTACGTCGAACATGGAAGCTGTTTATTTTAGGAACTGGTAAAGGTTTATGTAATGCTGGAAATAAAATAGATTCAACGTTTCGTCTGTGGAGCCTTCAGGTGCTTGTTATTTTATTTACTTTACTGTATTTATTTGCATCTTGTAATAGAAATCTAATTCCGGTCATTTAAACGATAATTACGTCTTACGGAGGACAGAATAGATAAACCCCACTGTAGAATTAGTATCTAATTTATTTTATAATGTTTAAACCTCCCCAGTTATGGAATTAGATGTGGGGAAGTATTGGTCAGCGAATATATTCCCAGATGTTTTGCAAATATCATTAAAATGTCATGAAAGCGCATCAAAGATTTATACATTTCTCAAATATATTCAGTGAAAGCCCAGAGGTTTGACTCGTGTTTTGCTGAAGAAGATTGTGATGAAAAGAGCTGGAGAAATGCGCGTTAATGCCGCCCTCTATGTGTGGGCAGCCCTTCCACA